AAGATAGTATTGTTATTAGAAATAGAAATGAACTTTGAAAATATGAAACAAGTGTGATTAAAATGATAGATAAAATACTCATTGTAATGGAATGAAATGTTTAATAAATAAATGAAATAAAGAGAATGAGAGAATGAAATTAGGAAAGGAGGGGAACATTTTAATTATTATAAATGTGTTATAAAAATTTAAGTGAAGAGGAATATGAAAGAAACATGAAAAATTATGGAAATATTATAAGTGTTCCTAGAAGTATGATACCCTATTGAAAATAAATGTTAAGATGTCAAAGATTATAACCAACATTAATGATAGAGCTGAATTGGAATAGAATAAGCATTTTATTTATTATTGTTATATACTGTATATATTTTCTCTTTAAGAACTTAGTGCATATTTTAAGAATGTACCAAGCAGAATTCAACTGGAAGTTATGTGTTTTATTGAATGTTATAATTGTAAAGGCATAAATTGAAGTTTAAATAAGAGTTGAATGGATAAAAATTAAAAGATACAAAGGTGTCATACTCTAATTAGTAACCACAGGGAAAAATTTTGTTTAATGAGAAAAGAAAATATGAAATTGAAAAAGGACAGACAAAAGTATAAATATAATGACTAGAAAAGTATTGAAACTTAGAAAAAGATACATATAATTGAATTTAGAAAGGAATGAGACAATTAAAAGTAAGATTAAGAAAACTAAGGGAAGGGAAAAATTATTGAGAAAATGTTAAAATAGTAATAAGATATGGAATAGAACACAAAAATGAATATGAAATTGAATTTGTGTCTGTATGGAGAAGTGATAACCTGGGACCATGCTATTCTCAAAAAAAGAAATTTTACTTGTATTATGTTTTGTGAAAACCCAAATAAAAATTTTATATATAAAAAAAAAAATTGGGGGTTTTCCTGGCACAAGTCCCTATATGCAAGAATATGAATGGAACTTCCCGACCCAGAGGGTCCCAGTGCAAGTTGTCACCCTAACCCTAGAAGGGGCAGCCACTAGATGGATAGTAACCCTCCACAACGTTGATGCCCCAGAGCCGAGGAACCTTGATCGATTCATGACAGCCCTACGCCACCACTTCAAAGACCCACTCCCCGATAGAAAAGCCTGGGACCATATTAGGGTCGTAAAGCAAGGTTGTCATCTGTAGTTGAACACACCGAGGAATTTCACAACCTGGTCAGCTGAGTCGACTGACCAGAAGATATTCTAGTCTGCTGGTTCAAAGATGGACCCAACGGTGACCTGTACACTGACTGCCTGGCCCTTTGGGCCCCTAACCTTCTGCTTGAATGGTACCTGATGGCAGAGGAGGCAGAAATCAACATGGTCTGTAAACAGTACCACAGAGGCTGGGTTTGGAGAAGATCCCCACCCCAGGGGAAGCGGGAGTTTTTCAAATCCCAAATCACCTTGACTCCAAGACTATCTGGCTGTTTTAAGTGTGGAAAGGAGGGGCAATGCGCAGCAGAGTGACGTTCAAAAACCCCTGCCAGAAAGCCAGACCACCCATCAGGGGGAAACTTGGAAAATCAAACCCCCAAGGAAAAGAAACCACCCTGAGAAGCTGAGAAGCCGTGAAGTTTCGGTTCCCGCCCACAAACCCAGAGGAAGAATCTCCAATGCCCCGAGGAGATCTGAGCCAATCTAAAAGCGATCTGGAAGACGACCCACTGGTAAGCGACCTAATTGAACCACTCACTCTACCCCTAACACTGTTTATCCCCAGCTGAGGGAAGGGGGAGAAAGTAGCAGCATTACTGGATTCGGGATGCACCTGGTGCTTAATCAACTCCATCCTTGTAGGAAAATTGGGAATCCACCTAAGAAAAATGGAAACCTCCATTGCTTTTTACTAATTAGACAGGACTATAGGAGGGGGGGAGCCAAACAGTTTTGCCACAGAACCATTGCAAATAGAACTGGCCAACCATAGCGAGGTGCTCATGTTCATTGTAGCCCCGGGAATGGAAGGACCACTATTCCTAGGACTCACATGGCTACAGAAATGGAATCCAAAAATGAACTGGAAGAGAAAAAAAAAAGTCCTTTAGAGAGGTGAGCTGGCATGTCCTTCATGAGGGGGAGTGGGTACATATTTTCCACACTGATGGTATTTAATTTACAGAAATCAAGCAGAGGCGTAGGGTGCCATCTTTCTTTTCATGTAACAATACTGGGGCTGCTATTTTCGGTCGGATAGGTTCGATCAAACCCTGTTTTAGATTTTTATTGATAAAGGCTCTGAGTTCATTTAGTTCTCTAGGGGACATGCAGTACATTTTTGGTTTTGGAAGTTTAGCCCCTGGCAGGATTTCAATGGCACAGTCATGACCACTATTGCAGACCCTCTTATTGTAAGGGCCCAGACTCTCTCCCCTTCAAACGATAAGAATGAACTTCTGAAAACTGTGTATTTCAAAAGGAATTCTTTATTGAAAAAAAAGTTATCCAGGTAATAGTCAAAGCAGGATTTAATATGCCACCAGGCATGCAGCATAGCTAAAGGGTGTTAGAACCCCTCCCCTTAATCTGTTGTGGATTTCATCAATACAAAGAAGCAACATGTTTATTCCCCCCCTCCCTTTTTTCCCCCTGAGAACGTAGGTGAGAAGTTTCCCAGGAAGTTTGTTTCAGAGGTGGAATTTTTATGGCCCCTTCTCCTCTTGCTATCTCTCCAAGAGGTGACAAGTTTCCATGCATCTGGGCTCAAGTCCTAGTTGTATATCATGTGCAAGTTATACAGATTCAATACAAGAATTAAGATATTCAGGTTACATCAAAAAGGATTACTTGTACCAACTCCCCCACATCTTCCATTGAAGAATGGCAGATACACGGATCTGACAATGGACTTTTTTGCTTATAAGTCCATTGCTAATATGGCGAGTTCTATTAGTGTAAATTAAATATGTTTGTTTAATCAATTCAGCTTAATATTTGTGTAGTTACTAACTAAATTATTTAATCTGTTTGCTAAAAATCCTGTGATGATTTTATCATTTGCATTGAAAGCTAGTTTATACAGCTTAAGCATTTGTTGTATAATTTCCCTTCCTAAAAATTAATGCTGTAAACTTTTTCTTTAGTTCCATGGATATAGAATCTCTCTGCTATACATTTTCATTAATTAATAATATTTTAACTCTATAGTTTTGAATCCTTTCCTTTTTTAACTAGCTACTTTTTCTCAATAATACTCCTATATTTGCATTTAGATTTTCATCATCCTCCTGACAGAATTTTGTATCTGTAATTATTTTTAAAAGTACTTTATTTCCTTGGTTTATGCTAATTATTATGAAGCTTTTCATTAAGACATATATTTTTTCATTTATTCACCCTTAATACTATTCATTTAATTGGAAGAATTAATTATACCACATAGTGAATTCAGGTTTCGTTTTTCTGCTAATTGTCAAGCTAATGAATTACTTTGTTTGATTCCATTTTCAAATAATCTTTATTTAATGAAAGCTATGAATTTATCTGCATTTTATGATCCATTAAATATATTGTTTTCTTAAGTTTCAAACTGCTTCATATATGTATATAACTACAGAGTGGTTTCTTTTAAGTTGTTCCTGCATTGCTTTATATTTTTTATTATTTGATTTATAGTTTCCTTATTTTCTCCCTATCATTAGATGTTTTTTCTAAATTTTTCTCACTACAGTAATATTTCAAAAGCACAGCAGCACCTAATTAACAGGATAATCTAAAAAAGTTAACGAGGATCAAAATCTAATTGTTACTTGAATAGGATACCACAAGAACAGTATTATAGTCTAAACTAGGAAATTGGACATATCTTGGGAAAAAAATGCCATTTTATTGCTAAGAAAACAACATTGAAATGTTCATGTAATCAGCACAAATCAAATTCTACTTGAGAGCGACTTAAAATTGTCATGATCATTTATTCACCATGATATTGAACAAATTCCTGTGTTGAAGTTTACTTTGATTTTAAATTTTTGCAAAATCATTACATCTTTGTTTGAAGAAGATTTGGGCAATTATACATGTCATATACTAGAAATTACCGCTAATTATAATCCAGCAAATACAAATAGTCTGGATTTCATTAGCAAGCATGGCTACCAGAATAATAATTAAAATCTTAGTTAATTTTTAATTCATCTGAAGTTTAGTTAAACTTAACTTAAGGAGCAAATGGTTATATCAAATAACAAATGTTTCAAATCTATACATTTATGTAGATTTATTTGCATATACATGTAACTAGAAGTACCAGCTAGGATCAGATGCAGCTGCTACATTAATAACTATGTGACACTGCTCTGAGTAATTATTCTCATTTCTAGTAAAACATTGAAGATGTTTTGCTTTTGCGATCATGAGCTTTATAGGAGTTAGAATTTTCTGTGTTCCGTTGAGATGAAAAATATGGTAACATTTGGACAACACATGTATATATAGAAAGAATATCAGATGTTCTCCTCACCAATTCTTCAGAATTCCGCTCATTTCTTTTTCTTTCAAGTGTACCCACACATACAGAACTGTAGCTCTTCAAATCAGACAGACATTTTTAAAATTTTCATAAATTTTGGGAGCAGTTTTATGTGCAGCATACCCAGTTGTTGTAAAAAGGATTTAAGAAAACATGTTATAGGAATTCTGCTTGAAATATTTTGCATTTGAGCTTTTGCTAAGGAGAAGTAAGGCTGTAATCCAGTGAGCAAAATAGTCCTGTAGCTTCAGAACAAATATCTTTCTTCCATTCATTTTTACTCTACAGAGAAGCTTTCTCAAATGATTTGAGAAGTTTCCTAGAAGTTTGTAAAAAAATTTTTGCTAAAGAATTGCCAAGTCATTCTTTGGGTAAAATGACTTTTGGCAAAAAAAAAAAATTAATAGAATTAAGCTTAATAGAATATAAACTGCTTAACAATTGGATTTCTAAGAATCCTAATACTGCTAGAAGCAATGTCAGAATCTGAAAGCACAAGTTACTTACTGACACAGAGGACTTCAAAATATAGTGATTAGCATGTGAAGTTCCTGGCACAAAATCAGCTGGCTGTCCCACAGTTGGATCACTACTCCTTCTAACCAAAAGTGGAGTACCTAGAGAGAGAAAATATATTTATTTAATTAGAATTACTTTAGAATCATTCACTTTTATAACGCTATATATTTATGATGGGTTCCGTGAATGCTTCTCCAGATGACAGTTCAGATGAAGAAGAGCTGGTTCCAGAGATTTTGGGGGAAGATGTGGAGGAACAATAGGAGATTGCCTGAAGAGCCAAGCCAGAAACAGCAAGTCCAGGCACAGTGGAGCGGTTGCAGGAGGACAACCAGACAAGCAGCTGGCTGAACTAGAGTCAGGAGAGACACAGCTGCAGCTGGGAAGCCCATAGATTTTGGGCAGAGGGAGCGCAGCAGCATCTTCCTCCTCAAGATCTGAGAGCACATAGGGCTAAGGAGGAAAATGCAATGAAAGTCAGCCAGGCTACTTGTGAGGTACTACCCTCACCCCACTTTTAGGCTGTACCATGGAGCAGCTATTTAGCTTAGCACATGGAAGGAAATTATGCTGGGAACAACTCATCAACGAACTGCTGTATGTTCTTCAGCCGCTGTGATTTTTGATGTGCTCCCGGACCTGGATTCTGTACCTTGGACTTTGGATCATGCCTCTTGAACTCTGGACATGGCTTGCCGACTTGCCTTTGCCCTGTGGATTTATGCTGGGTTTTTCCGAGACTAGATTATTAAACCTCTTGGGGACTGCACTGGTGTTGAAATTTCTGGGGAAAACTATTCATGGCTTGGGAAGCCTCAGTAAAGACTTTTAACACCCATGGAGTTTGCATGTGTGAGGACAATATTACTATAAGGACTTATGAATAACTTACAAAACAATCAAATCTTACTTTTTTAATATGGAAAAGAAAACAAAAATTGAGTGAGATTTCCAAATATGTTAGAGAAAGAAAGAAAACATTTGTGTGTCAATAAAATCCATAATGTATAGCATACACAGTTGTAAAAAGGATTTAATAAAGCATAGTACATTATTGGATCAGTCATCAAGATTAGCAGCCTGTGATAAGCAGATTCTCTATTATTTAGTCCAATCTCCTTTTAAAAGGAATAGGTTGCAATCATATCTAATATTAAAAGTTAGAAGTTTCACTATCTGTTATCAAGAAATGTTCTATTTTATCAGTTCTAAAACTCCTTATATTAATTTTTAATGGCTGGTGCTGTGTTTTAATATTGTAACAGGGAGAAAATATTCATTCTCCATGAATGTAGAATCATGAATCTAGACAGTCTGAAATACTAAATAATTATAAATTAGTAAATAAAATTAATAGTAAATAATTATTTATAAAATGTATATGTCACAGTGATTCTGGTCAGTTTACAATTGTTAAAAACATTTAAGAAAGAAAAACCCAGCACAAGACAAAAGAACAATGGCAAAACAAAAAAACCTCAGAAATGAACACAAACATAAATACTGAACATAAATACTGAAATTGCTGATGACACAACAGTGATTGGTCTCATCTGAGACAACGATGAATCTGCATACAGACAAGAGGTTATACAACTTGCCTCGTGGTGTAACCAGAACAATCTGGAACTGAACACACTCAAAACCGTAGAAATGGTGGTATACTCCCATGCTACCACCTCTTACAATACTAGACAACACAGTATCAACAGTAGAGACCTTCAAATTTCTATGTTCTACTACATCACATGACCTAAAATGGACACCTAACATCAAAAACATCATCAAAAAAGCACAACAAAGAATGTTCTTTCTGCGCCAACTCAGAAAGCTCAAACTGCCCAAGAAGCTGCTCATGCTGTTCTACAGAGGAATTATTGAGTCTATCATCTGGACCACTATAACTGTCTGCTTTGGTTCTGCAACCCAACAGGACAGACACAGACTTCAGAGGATAATTAGGACTGCAGAAAAAACAATTACTACCCACCTGCCTTCAATCGAGGACCTGTATACTGCACGAGTCAAAAAGAGGGTTGTGAAAATATTTACAGACCCCTCACATCCCGGACATAAACTGTTTCAACTCCTTTCCTCAAAACGATGGTATAAAGCACTGCACACCAGAACAGCTAGGCACAAGAACAGTTTTTTCCTGAAAGCCATCGCTCTACTAAACAAATAATTCCCTCAACACTGTTCAACTATTTACAAAGTGTACACTACTATCTTCTCATCACTCATCACCTCCCACTTGTGATTGGTTGCTTGTATCCTTACGATTTATATTGACTGTTTCCTAGTGTGATTTGATCATTGATTGTACCCTATGACTATCATTAAGTGTTGTACTTTATGATTCTTGATTCTTAACGAATGTACCTTTTCTTTATGAATACTGAGAGTATTTACACCAAGACAAATTCCTTGTGTGTCCAATCACACTTGGCCAATAAAGTATTCTATTCTATTCTATTCTATTCTATTCTATTCTATTCTATTCTA